AATTCACCGAGCAACTGAAACTGTTCCTGGTTTTGCTGCTGTTACAGCCTGGCAGAGAAGGTGAAGACCGGGGCCGGGCACCTCACTGAGCTGCATGAGTGTGGCCCTTTGTTGGGTCCTTCCGCTGCTGCAGTTGAGGTCTTGAGAGTTACTTGTCCTGTGCTGTGCTGCGGTATCCTGGAAGCTCTGGGAGCATCTCCTATTGCATCTTCTGCTGTCTTTGTGAGTTGGAACCTGGCTTATAGTCTGGCTGTCATGTGCTCCAGGTCAGCAGAGGCAGGAAGACGCCATCTTGGACATGTGGCCTATTGTTCGGGAGAGGAGCTCTGTGTTCTCCGTGGCGGGAAGACGCGATCTTAGTTGCTTTTGTTTCAGATGGAAACACTGGACAGGGCTTCGGGTGAGGTAAATCTTTGTTTACCTCAGTTCGGCCTCAGTAAATCTTTGTTTTTCCCTGGTTTGTTAAATAAATCCCATTGTTGTTCCCTGAGCCTGAGTAGTCTTGTAATTGTGCGCATGGGTGAAGAACTCAGACAGTGACATGTAAACTATTTGGACAGTGGCCTTGGCCAGTTTTAGTGATCCCTGCTGCCCTGTATCACTATGCGCCTTTGAGAAAAATATGTATTCCACTTTTTTGGGTGCAGGATCTTAAAGATTTTCTTAGGTTCATGTGGTCTAATTCTTTTTTAAAAACTATTATGTTCATATTCACTTTTTGTCTTATTGATCTGTCCATTGTTGAGAGTAGGGTGTTGAACCCTATGACATATGTGTTTTTACCAATGTTTATTTTCTGAGTTGATAGTAGTTGCCTGATATATTTTGGTGCTCCTTCATTTGGTGAGTGTACATTGATAAGTGTTATGTCCTTTTGATGTATTGTTTCCTTAATTGTTTTATAGTGTCCATCTCTGTCTTTTTCCTGGAAAACTATTTTGTCTGATATAAGTATGGTTGTCCCTGCCTTCCTTTGGTTTCCATTCACATGTAATATTGTTTTCAAACATTTTATCATGAGTCTGTGTATAAGTTTGGAGTTTAGGTACATCTCTTGGAGACAGCAGAAGGCTAGTTTTTTTCTCCTAATCCAGTCAGATACTTTGAGTCTTTTAATTGGTAATTTTAGCCCATTAATGTTTAGAGTGATTATTGATATATGAAAGTCTATTTTTTCCATTTTGCCATATGTTGTGGTTGTATCTATTTTCTTTTTCAAATCTCTGTGTATGTTCTTCAATTTGACTTAGACACTGGAGTTCCTTTCAACGTTTTTGGAGGGGGGTGTTTAGTTTTTGCAAATTCCTTCAATTTCTGTTTATCTGAGAAGACCTTGATTTTTCCTTCATATCCAAAGGGTGACATTGCAGGATTAAGTATTCTTTTTTTAAAAAAGTATTTTATTTATTTATGCATGTAAGAACTGGGCTACAGGCCAGAGGTGTGGGGGGTTAGAGGATTCACCAGAGACAGAGTGGGGAACAGAACAGGCAGATTGACCAAAATACACTGCTGGGGGAACAGTGGGAGAGTCAGGAGAGGTCTGCTGTGTCATGTGGGTTGCTCCCTGGCCGGGGATCAAACTTGTGCCGCAGTGGCTGCAGATAGCTTTATAGGTTGCATCTTAACCCCTTGCACCACCAGGGAGGCCCAGGATTGAGTTTTCTTTGTCTGGCAGTTTTTATCTTTAATTTTTTTGATCACATCAATCCATTCTTTCCTGAGACATTTCTTAAGAGGAACCTGATGTTAGCCTGATGGGGGTTCCTATATCGGCTATCTGCTTCTTTTCCCTTGCCAACTTCAATATTCTTCCTTTGTGTTGGACTTTTGGGTGTTTCAATAACATATATCTGGGTGTAGGTCTCCTTTTTGTTTAGCCAAGTGTTCTTTTAGCTTCCTGGATTTGTGTATTTCCTTCTATAGGTTTGGGAAATTTTTCTCTGTTATTTTTTTAAATATGTTCTCCGTTCCTTTCTCTCTTTTTCTTACCCTTTCATGATACCTATAATTTCTATATTACATTTCCTCATGGAGTCAGAAAATTCTTGAAGTGTTTCTTCACTTTTCACATTGTTTCCTTTTTCTTCTATCTTGCTTCTTTGTGTACTTGCATCTTTATGTTCACAGATTTGTTCTCCCATTTTATTCTAGTTTCATAGATTTTTACACTATGTTTCATGCTATTAATCTTTTTCCATTCTGCAACTCCATTTTTCTTATTTAGTTTATCATTTTTTTTAATAATAAATTTTATTGTTATATTCCCCATACAATTGCAGCCCCCCATTCTGACCCTAATCCCTCCCCTCCCGCCCCCGCCCCCTAAAAGTGTCTCTGGTTCATAGTTTTTTGTTGATTTTGATTTTCACTTTCTTAAAGTTATTCATTTTCCTGGTCCCTTATTTAAGTTTTCTAGATTCCTATTATGAGTGAGACCATCCGGTATTTTTCTTTTTCTTTTTGGCTTATTTCGCTGAGCATGATCCCTTCCAGAGCCATCCATGTTGCTGCAAATTGCATGTGTTTATCTTTTTTGAATGCTGAGTAATATTCCATGGTATATATGTACCACATCTTCTTGATCCAGTCATCTATTTTTGGGCATTTGGGTTGTTTCCAAAGCTTAGCTATTGTAAACAGTGCTGCTGTAAACATAGGGGTGCAGGTGCTCTTTGGAATTGATGTTTCTGTGTCTTTTGGGTAAATACCTAGGAGTGGAATTGCTGGATCATATGGAAGTTCTATGTTTAGTAGGTCCAGAAATCTCCACACAGCTTTCCATAGTGGTTGGACCAGTTTGCACTCCCACCAACAGTGTTGTTGATTTTGTTTTTTAGAACACTTGTTTATGAATTTTATTGTCTTTGATATACTTTTGTCTTCTCTGTGTTATTGAATTTCTTTTTGATGGCAAACTTGGATTCTGTATCTGATAGGAGGACTCATGTGACTGCGTGTTTTCCTGTTTCCCTATTCTTTGCTTTCAGGATCATGCTTCTGTGTATGGAACTTCTGCTGGGTGTGGCTCCACCACCCATGCTGCCCCTGTGTGCTCACAGGTAGAGCCTAGGGGTCTCTGGTGCTGTTTGGGTCTTTTGGTAGCCTTGTCTAGGGTAGGCACTGCCTCTCATGGTGCTGATTCTGGTTGTGGGGCCAAGGGTGCTCATCAGAGTTTGGCTGGGTGTTGCTGGCTTTACAATCCAGTTCTTGCTAGCCTTGTTTAGGGTGGTCATTGCCTTCTCACTGCAACACTATTTACAACAGCTGAGCTATGGAAACAACCCAAGTGCCCAAATACAGATGAGTGGATCAGGAAGACATGGTATGTAAATACAATGGAATACTACTCAGCTATCAAAAAAGATAACTCACCATTTGCATCAATGTCAATGGAATTTGAGGAGATTCTGCTACACAAAATAAATCAGATAGAGAAAGACAAATACTGGAGGGTTTCACTTATATGTGGAATATAGGGGAAAAAAGCAAAGGGTCAGATAGCAGCAAACTAACAACAGCCCTCAAAAATTTACTCTAGAACTGAGGCTACTCTAGAGTGGGAGGAAGAAGAGCAAGAACACAGTGGGGAGGAGCACAATGGACTATGATGGTGGATATGAGAGTTTTGGTGGTAGGTGTAGTGAATTAACAATACCTGAAGGGGGAAATCATAAAAATAATGTTGTAAAGTAATGTTACTTCAGTAACAAACAAATGAACACAACCCAGAGAAATCTGTTGTGTCCTTTGTACAAATGACAAAATAGAAAGGAAAGAAATCAATAAAACAGTCTCATTTATAATCATATCAAAATAATCCAATTTTCTAGAAATAACAGAGGAGGGAAAGAATATATACAATGAAAACTATAAAACATTATTAAAAGAAGTAGATGAAGACACACACACAAATGGAAAGATATTTCCTGCTAATACACTGGAGGAATTACTTTGTTAAAATGGCCATTTTACCTAAACTAATATACAGGCTCAATGAAATCTGTGTGAACTTATACACCTACATCATATACAGTATTTAAACCTGTGTTACCTCAGTGAGAGTAATATACAGAGAATATATATAATATATATTATCTAGAGTATATAGATATACTCTAGATAATATATATACTACAGAGTATATATATACTATGAGAGTATACATTTATATATATATATATATAAAATATACAGAGAGTGTAGTTTGGTGCTATCTGACCCTTTGCTTTTTTCCCTTATATTCCATATATAAGTGAAACCCTCCAGTATTTGTCTTTCTCTATCTATATATAATATACAGAGTATATATATGTATATGTGTGTGTATATATATATATATATATATATATATAGTCAACTAATCTATGACAAAGGAGCAAAGACTATTCAAGGGAACCGGGAAATTCTCTTTGATAAATGATGTTGGGAAAACTGGATTACTGCATACAAAAGAATTAATCTAGACTCTAACTCATACCAGACACAAAATCAACTCAAAATGGATGAAAGGCTTGACTGTAAGACTGAAGCCATAAACTATATAGGCAAAAGACTCCATGACATACACCTCAGAGACATCTTTGAGGACTCATCCCCAGAAGCAAGGTAAACAAAGGAAAAAAGAAATAGCTGGAGTACATCAAAAGAGACAATGACCAAAAAGAAGAGAAACCAGCTAATGTCTTATATCTATGATATGCCACATCACTCCTGTGAAAGGGAGAAGGTCTTCCAGAGGCTGTGTAAGTTTTTGGATATATACCTTTGATTCACGGAAGGACCTGTGGATCTCACCATGCACTTCTTTCTGTAACACACACTTTCCAATCTGTCTTTTCTGTCTGTTTGTTTCTGAATGAATCTATTTAATTGTTTGAATAACTGAGTGTGTTAGTTTGAGGTCAAAACTGTACATATTTTAAAACTTCAAAATGAAAAGAGGATAACTGACCTATATTGAAAAATTATTATAAGAGCAAAGGCTACTGTTCACTTACTTGGTTGAACAGCCCTCAAACATTCCAGTTTTAATGAAGAATGGGCATACAATGGTGGTTTTAATGTTAGTTTTCTTTGTCAATGTTAATTCATAGTAGAGAGACTCTGCCAATCCGTAAGCTGCAAATTTGCTTGCAGAATAATCTGAAACAAAATGAGTAGCTGTTAGAAATAAAATTTGAAAAGTTAATTCTAGGAATTATTTAAAATTGTGAAATTTCTTTTCCTTGCTCTGGCTTGTCCTTGGGGACAAAGCATCACTGCTAAAATCATTCATATGCTCAAACATTCTACTCTTACATTTCCTTACTAAATACCCAACAAGATTAAAATAATTCCACTTCTATTAACCCAAGAAGACTAAGGAACTAGTAGAGACATTCTTCTCTTTATTTTATTTAAAAAAGAGAATATCTTCTCTACCATTTTCACTTAAAATTAGGAAAGGGAGAGGAATGTCAACATTTTACATATAGTGAAATGTACTGTAGAGTTTTCTTTAGTGTAGGAAGAGTTCTATGTACTTTAGAAGAGCCATAATTTTTTCGGGCTATGGGATGTGAAATACAAGGGCACAGGGTGAAGTACTCACCTACTAGACCACTGGTACCAAATTTCCCTGCTGCACTTGAAATACAGACCAAATGACCATGGTTAGCTTTTAGCATGGCAGGAAGGAAGGCCTTGTAAGTCTAGAAGATATAAAAACATTGTGTCAATATTTAATTCATTTTTTATTTCATTTGCTCAGAGTGATGAATTTAAAAATTAATTTAATAAATATTTAATATTTAAAATGTATTAAATTCTGAGACAGTATAAAATAGTCACTAATATTGTATAGTCACTCTTAAGGATTTTAAATTTACATTGTTTTTAAGATTTATTTATTTATGCATACAAGAGCTGGGGGGTGTAGGCCAGAGGTGCAGGGGGGTGAGAGGATTCACCAGAGACAGAGTGGGGAGTAGAACAGGTGGATCTACTGAAATACACTGCTGAGGGGAGACAGGAGAGGTCTACTGTGCCACATGGGTTAGCTCCCTGGCCAGGGATCAAACTCATGCTGCAGTGGTTGCCCATAGCTTCAGAGTGCTGAGACTTAACCCTTTGTGCCACCAGGGAGACCCCCTAAAGTTACATTTTTAATTGAGGCAACATTGATGTATAACATTGTATGTAATTAGGGGTATAGATGTATGTCACCATATCACACCTACCACCAAGGCACCCATAGTTCATCTCATCCTTTGCTCTCCACCCTCCCTTCTCCCTCTGGGAGCCTGAATTTTACAGTCAGATTTCTAAGGTTTGTTTTTGTCTGACCCTTATGAAGTTAAAGTAGTTAATTCATAAAAAATACTATTTGACTTGTTCACCTTTTAAGTAAACTATACCAATTAAATTATATCAATATTTTACATTTATAATTTGTTAACAGTGCAAAGGCTAGTTTTTCTAAGATGCTGAGTTCCTCTATGTAGTTTTAACCTAACTTTTTAAATTTTTCACAATAGTTATGGGTCACGTAAGTTATAGTTTCCAAAAAGAAAAAATCAGGTCATAAGGAATACAAATATGTATTCACTTAAATTGGATTTTTTTTTTTTAAAGATTTATTTTGTTTTATTTATTTATTTATTTATGCAAGCACTGGGTACAGTCAGAAGAGCGGGAGCGTGAGAGAATTCACCAGAGCCAGAGCGGGGAGCAGAGCAGGCAGAGGGACCGAAGTACACTGCTGAGGGGAGCAGCGGGCGGCAGGAGAGGTCTGCGCGCCATGTGGGACCCTCCTCCTGTGGCCGGGGAGCAGCCGGGGATCGAGCCGGTGCTGCAGAGGCTGCGGGCAGCTTCGCAACCCAGCGCTTCGCAACCCAGCGCTCAACCGCTGCGCCACCGGGGAGGCCCACTTAAATTGGATTTTAACAAATGATGACTTCATTGTAAAATACAGGTTTGATGCTTTGAACTTCATGCGATTTTGACAATTGTTTGGACTTACTCTAATGACACTTTCTTTGAAAACCACTTTTCTTTTTTTAAGATTATTTATTTATATAAGCACTGGGTACAGTCAGAGGTGCTGGAGGGTGAGAGAATTCCCCAGAGCCAGAGCAGAGAGTAGAACAGGCAGAAGGACCAAAGTACACTGCTGAGGGGAGCAGCCGGTGGCAGGAGAGGTCTGTCGCGCCTTGTGGGACCCTCACCCGGTGGCTGGGGATCGAACTGGCGCTGCAGAGGCTGCGGGCAGCTTCACAACCCTGCGCTCAACCACTGCGCCACCGGGGAAGCCCGAAAACCATTTTTCAATGTTATCTTTTTTTGACATTTTAATGTCACCGGTGAATGTGTTTCTTTATAGCACCAACTTAAATGCTATGAAGACTTTTGGATAATGAAAGTTAGATAAGTTTATGGGAAATCTTTGGTTACCCATAAGTAAGATTTTTAGGTAATCAAAAGTTGGGTTAGTTTATGGAAATCTTTGGGTACTCATAAAATTTCAAAAGAAATTAAATTCATAGAGCAAAGGTATGGCATCACCCAGCATAGTTTTAACTTTTTTCCCAGTAAAGCTTGAACTGAAAAGGTAAGTTTAATGTGGCATATACCTTATCTTGTAGCACAAGGATAAAGTTAACTACATTTTAAAGTTGTGGCTGGAAAATAATTTTTGGCATACAGGCCTATGCATATTTTTATGTTTACAGTCATATACATATTAATGCTTGTTAAAATAGGCAAAATATTTATCCAAGAGAAAGTGAAAGACTTGAGAGCTTAGAATTGGCCTTGGAATATTCAGTCTGATTTCAGCAAAGAGCTTAAAAGCTATATTTTTTTCTCTTTTTTTAAGAAACTGTATTATTTTTTATTGAGGTAATGTTGAATTACAACACCATATATGTTTTAGAGGTGTAGAGTCACATCTCTTCAGATGTATGTTATCACACCACACCCACCACCCAGGCATCCACAGTCCCTTAGCATCACCCACTGGGTCCCTCCACACTTTCTCCTTGGCACCCTGTCATCTGGTAGGTAGTTAGAAGACTATTTTTTCCCTTTGTGGAATTGCCCAGAGAGCAGAAGTTCTTATCAGAATACTTTGAGCCCTTGTGTTATTTTTGTCATACTGTTGAGTTGTGGAGACAAATGACAAAAACTTATCACATTTGAAAGCTCTATTTTAACCTCTTTTAGGTTTATTTAAAATAAGCAAACAAACTTGTATTATCACTTTAGCAATTAAGTTAGCCAATATAACCAATCATGTCAGTTTTTGTTTAGAAAAATAAAGTGATGGAGGTGTTATTGTATTCATAGTCATTGTGAGACAGTTTCTGGCTAGGTAGAGGTCCATGAAGAAACTGGCCAAAGGAAGATTATAGAAAAATGGAAATTTAAAGGCCCTGTGTCTGTGAGCAGACCTACCTGTCATCAAGCGACCACAAAAAAGTGGTTGATAAGAGGAGCATCAACCAGGGGTGATGACTCTGGTTTTAGGCTGTGAGTATTAATCTTCAGCAAGCTTCCACACTTCTAGCTGCCTGTTTGCTAATCTTCGCAAGCTACCTCCCACACGTGTATTCAGCAGATAGCAGCCCCTCAGTGAGCTGCAAAAGACCCTAGAAATGAGCATCTTAGTGGTACTGTGCTTTCAGGTGCCCCCTCCCTGTCTCTGCAGGGAGCTTTCTGCTTCTCTATTACAAAATAAACTCTCTAAAAATCACTCCTAGAAGTCCATGTTCTCAATTTTTGTGGCAGAAGACAAGAACTCACCGACACCCTGAAAAATTGTTGGCCCTTTTTCAGAGACTGAAGCCCCTACGTTATGTTCCCATAGTTGAAATGGGAATCAGCAGCAATAGGGATACTGGACACTATTCTATGGGGTATACTTAGTATTTGTCACATTTCTTAATTAACTTAGTCCTATTTTAGGACCTGGGAAATACTGTCAAATCAAAAGAAGAAACTTAAACTTTCTCAGTACAATTTATCAATATAAACATGTTTTAGTAGAGATTTTACACTTGCTGGGATGAACAGAAGGATTCTGAGGATTTGTACAGCTCTCACTGTAATATTAACCAAATTTACATGAATTTGTTATATATTATGCCCTAATAGAGATTTTTATTTTCTCTGATTGATACTTTTGACTTCTGAAACAAATAACTAGATTCATTATGGTTTGTCATCAATTGGTTTCTGGGTACCCTTTAGCTTGTCTGAAGACTCTGGTGCTATAAGCCAGAAATTGTGGAGGCACAGTACAGCAAGACATACTCAAAGTCACACTAGAAAGAACAATGTCAAGGAATCAACTCATTGGTACAGGATCCCTAGTGTGAGCTGGCATTGGCATGGTGAGGGGACCCTCAGAAGACCACATCAGGAATGAGACTGGTCCCTAGGACCTTATTAGCCCAGAAGCATTTGACAGTGTGAAAGCAGACTGACTAGGATTCAGCAAACAGAGTTCATTAATATAGGACTGGATTATGAAATCAGTGGGGAAATTTAAATGTGACCAATGTTGTATTTTCTTTTCTTTATTAATTTTTTTTTTTTAAAGATTTATTTATTTATACAAGCACTGGGTACAGCCAGGAGCGCGGGAGGGTGAGAGAATTCCCCAGAGCCAGAGCGGGGAACAGAACAGGCAGACTGACGAAATATACTGCTGAGGGGAGCAGCGGGCACGGCAGGAGAGGTCTGCGCGCCATGTGGGACCCTCCCCCAGTGGCCGGGGATCGAACCGGCACTGCAGAGGCTGCAGACATCTTCCCAGCCCAGCGCTCAACCGCTGTGCCACCAGGGGAGGCCCTGTTGTATTTTCTGATGGGCATATAAAGAAGATTTTTCTTCTTGATCTATTTTAAATCATCCTCAATTAAGAAAGCTATACTTATCTAAACTGCAATGAAACTCTTTTTGAAGGGTATTTCATCCCAAGGGAACCCTTAAAATCAGGGATAATCTCTTTTGGGAAATCTTAGTGTAGTTCATAATCTAACAGATCCTCAGAGGAAGGTAAGGGTGATGTAATTCTAGTTCTGAATTTTGGAGTTCAGATAAATGTCTGCACAATGGGTTAAGCTGAGATACTTAAAGCAAACCGATAATAAGGCCCTATCATCAGAGTCACAGAAGACTGAGTTTCTGCCTCGTGCTCCCTCCTCTGTGTCTCCCCACTCCATGTCTCCCCAGGTTCCAGTTCCGGTCACCTGTGCCTCCTGCATAACCCACCACTGCTATTCTTCATTCCACCTGAGCTTTACCTCCCCAAGTAACTCAGTCTCCTTCAGTCCTCTATTCATTGTCTACAGTTGCACTGTGCTATGTGGCTCTTTATGTATACATTTAAATAAATTGAATTACATAAAATTAAAAATTCAGTGCCTCAGTTCTACCAACCATATTCCAAATTCTCAACAGCCACAGTCACAGCAGCTGCCATATTGCACAGAATTACAGAAGAAGAATACTTCCATCATCATAGTTACACTGGACAGTGACGGTTATATGAGACACTTCAGGCCTCAAAGAAGATAGTCTGAGCTATAAATTTGCACATTCTCCTTCTTTAAATAGTTTCTTCTTTCTCTTTGCTTCTTCCTTTTCTGAGCTTTAGAACCATTATCACTCAACAGTTCTAGTGTAACAGAGTAATCCCCAGGGAAAAGAGTTCTAGGTTCCCTGCTCCATGTGTGGATGTGTGGGGCTGAGCAGGGAGGGAGAAGAAAGACAGGGAGAAGGAAGGAAGGAGGCAAGAAGAAGACCTGGAGGAGGTACGTGGAGCAGAGAGACATGTAAAGAAGGTGCTTGCTTCTTGGCCTTGGACTTGTACCAGGGACTTAAGACAGACATGGGTGAGAGACCCATGGGAAGGCTGACAATGGCAGCCTTTATCTTAACTTGGGTTTTGATTTGCTCCTTTTGTCCCAAACTTGTCTGGCCCCTTCTTCCCTTTCCTGTGGTTCCCCACCAGAAGGTGACTTAGATTTGTAGCCCAGAAGCATTTGACCCTGTTTTGGGTCACCCCGGTTTGGCTGGGCATTTACCAGTGATGGGATGGGTAAATTTGGGTGCCTGATTTGGTAACTATATTCTTTCTCTTTTTCTTCTTTTCTCTTTATTGCACAGTGATTGCATTAAATTTCTTTTCTATTGAAGGTGTAGCACACTAGAGTATGTTTTGTCTTGATATGGCAGTTGGCAGAACCCATTTATAACAGGTAGGTTTGGGGGCCCTGGGGTGCCTCTCACCCTGCCCTATAACATTAAGACCTTGGATAAATCACTTAAAATCTTTGAGCCTTAGTTTCTCTCTTTGTAAAAGAAGAACAAACATGGCAGCATGGTTACTATGTACAGGAAAAGAATTTAGAACAGTGTCTGGTCAGAACACTATAAATGCTGCTGATAATAATAACAATAATAATTATTATTATTGTTATTATTATTATAAAATGCTCATGTTGTTCTTTCCTTTGTTGTGATGCCCAGTCATGCATCATATAAACCACCACTCAAAAAATAGCCCTCTCCTTGTGCACAAACTCCTCTTTTACTCCTGAACAAATTAAATCTCCCTTGTATATTAGCTGTCACATTTTGTTTATGTTTTGGTAGGAAGATATCAGAATAGTCTAGAAAGCCTTGGAACCAAACTGGAGTGGGCAGAGGGGAAGGTCCTACCCTGAAAATTTGGAATAGGGCAAAACCATGAAAAACTAAGTTGACAGATTGGCAAGCAGATACCTGGACAGGAGGCGAGCCCATTAGTTTACCTTTGTAAACTTTGTTCATAGAAATACAGGGAATTTTCATGTTCAGCAGCAAAAAAACAAAAAAGAAAGACTTACCCAGACATGAGACAAGACATTGACAAGAAATGACTTTTCTACCATGTAGTCTGGAGTATCAAGGAACTCCTTTCCTGTCACCATGCCAGCATTGTTAATGAGGATGGTCACATCACCGACTTCTCTTTTTACCTGCATACAAGTGAGAAAAATGTGATTTCACTTGAGATGTTATAGTTTGATATTTCCAGGTCATTATTCCCACCACCCTCATTTTATTCAGGTACTTTCTTTAAAACTAGAAATTTTATTTTTATCCTGCAAAGAGAAATTCGTAATTTTTTTGAAGATTTATTTATTCATACAAGAACTGGGGTGTAGGCCAGAGGTGAGGGGTGGGAGTGTGAGGGAATTCACCAGAGACAGAGTAGGGAACAGAACAGGCAGACTGACTGAATTACACTGTTGAGGGGAGCAGCGGGTGAGTCAGGAGAGGTCTGCTGGACCATGTGGGTAGCTCCCTGGCCGGGGATTGAACTTGTGCTGCAGAGGCTGCAGATAGCTTCACAGTGCTGTGCTTAACCCCTTGCGCCACCAGGGAGGCCCAAAATTCGTCATTTTTAAAGTAACTTTATAACAAATTATATTTAAAAGACACATTGATTTGCAAAAAACACTGAAAGAACCTTGATTTTGTGTATTGTGTCAAAATGACTTAATATTGCAACATATTTTCTTGACCCTCTGTTTCCCTTTAGCAAGTGCCCTTTCCCGCTGGTCACAAGGGCCAGGGATGTTGTCTTGTGATGTTCAATTCTGTCTCCCTTCACACCTCTGAACACCTCCCTTTAGGTGGCAGGTATGTCCCCAATCAGCGTGGTGACTTCTGTAGGTGTCTTCTTGGCTCCCTGTCAGTCAGGTAGTGGTAGGAACACATCTCATGCTTCTAAGACCTGGCTGTGGCTTGACACGAAGACATCCCAAACACAAATGATTTGCTCGCATTGCCCATAGATCTCTGTGACTCTGTTACTTCTGTCTATGGCTGATGTTTCCCTGAGTTTTACAGCTGAGCTGCGAGCCCTGAGCCTCTTTTGTCCTCAGCATCTTGCTTCACCCTCCCTTCTTTTTTTTCTTTTAAAGATTTATTTATTTATTTATTCATTCATTCATTTATTTATTTATTTTAAGATTTATTTATTTATTTATACAAGCACTGGGTACAGGCAGAAGTGCGGGAGGGTGAGAGAATTCACCAGAGTCAGACTGGAGAGCAGAACAGGCAGACTGACAAAGTACACTGCTGAGGGGAGCAGCGGGTGGCAGGAGAGGTTTGCGCGCCACGTGGGACCGTTGCCTGGCGGCCGGGTATCAAACCGGCGCTTCAGAGGCTGCAGGCAGTTTCGCAGCCCAGCGCTCAACTGCTGTGCCACCAGGGGAGGCCCTAAAGATTCACTTATTTATTTATGCAGAGAGAGCTGGGGTGTAGGTCAGAGGTGCAGGGGCTGAGAGGAGTCACCTAAGACAGAGTGGGGAACTGGGGAACTGAATGGGCAGATTACTGAAATACACTGCTGAGAGGAGCAGCGGGTGAGACTGGAGAGGTCTGCTGCGCTGTGTGGGTCACCTCCCTGGCCAGGGATCGAACTCAGGCCTTAGAGGTGATAGTGCTGAGACTTAACCCTTAGGCCACAGGGAGGTCCTCCCCCTCCCTTTGGAACTGTCTCCCTTGCAGGCTGGCACCGTCCACACAAGATCACTAGCCTCATTAGAAAAATGTGTTCGAGGAAATAATGTGGGGCCTGCTTTTCTCTTTTTTACTATTTTGTCTCAGATTATAACTTTGTATGTAGCTCACTAAGGGCAAAGTATGATGATCTTTAAACAATAATTTGAAGGTTTTTTTTTTTTTTTCTTGAACTGGGTCTGAGGTCCTGATACTATAATCTGTTTTTTAAAAATTTGTTTCAGATAGAAACAATACCCGCTTTGTCTTGATTTTCTAATCTAGTCCATGATTTGTGTTGAGCCTTATCTGTATCCAAATACTATATCTGGGAGACATCAAGTAAATATTGTTTCTGATGTAGTTGAACAAGCTGTGAAAGGCAAGTAATGCTTCTGAGCTGATGTGGGCCTGAGAGGGTGGATTCCTTTACTTAAGAGTGAGAAATACAGAGGAAAAAATCCTTGAGAGATTAACTTTTAAAGAACATTCCCATTGGCTTGTTAAGGGAATTTTATCTAGGTAATGAGATTTAATTTTCATTGCAATTATGAGAGCTTAGGATAGCATTATTATCTTAGTTTATAGATGAGGAGACAGGTTCTGAGAAATCAAGGTTTTGCCAAAATACCCATAGATTTTGAAAGACTAACTGATACACACCCAATTTGAGTACATTCATGAAAAAAGTGAAAGCTCTTTTCACCCAAACTTACCATTCTATAGCCAAAATGATTATTTACAGCAAATCTCACAGGTATGCTTACGCGCGCGCACGCATGGACGCACACACACACACACACACACACACACACACAGAAATTTAAGAACTAATTGACCTGCACATTTGGAAATAATGTATGAATCTTTTCTCAAACTTTATAAAATAATTTGTGTATTACTTTTTTAAGGTGGAGATACTAATATTACTTCAATCTAATTTGGGACATTAGTTACTGTGTTCCTTTTGAATGCTGCTATTCATCTCTCCCACAAGTTTCACGGATTCGGGTAACATTCATAGTTTGTTGAAATTTTTGCATGTAAAGTCCAAATGAAATTATTTTGGTTTCTTGAGAGTTGAAAGCAATTAAAATTAAATAGAAAAGCAGATAAAGTAGTTGGCTTAAAAGAGGTCTATTTATAGGGTTATGAGAAAAGAAGGCAATTTTAAAATACAATTCAAATGGTGAAAAGATAATTTTGGTTAATGATTTTGGTTTGGTGTTTTATTAGGAAGCAAGAAAATTTTTAAAAAGTAGAACTGATTTTTTGGAGCTCTGCAGGAGATTACAATACTTTTGATCTAGGGAAGATTATTATAAAGGGGTCTTTTAAAAATTAATATATTTTTAAGTGAAATAATACTGGGGTACTCCCAGAGTGGGTACACTCCAGAGTACTCCTAGAGTGGCTAGGTATTGCCACTCTAGCAAGCCCATCACCTACTCACCCATGTTCTATCACCGTAGACCACCTGCTTCCTTCCCTCCTTCAGCTCCTTCACCCCTTGGTGCCTAAGTTCTGTCATCTGCTATCAAGGGCTATTTTTCATTGTCTTTATCTGACTATTAATTTAGTGACTTTATATTCCACACATTAGTAAAGACCATTTGATATTTCTCTCTCCTTCTGACTTATTTTGCTTAGCACTGTCCTTTCATGCTCCATCCATGTTGCTGCAAATGACATGAATTTATCTTTTTTGATCCTTGAATAATATCCCATTGTGTATATTTATCATATCTTCTTTTTTTTGCCTGAATATCTCATTTTATTATTTTGTTAATTCATACATTTTAAAAAATATTGTTATTGAAGTGCCATTATTTTATGTCCTGGCTAGCGTTTTAACAGCAAAGGATTCCCCTCCCTGCAGGTGTGGTCACTAATAGCACCACTATCCTCAAAGTACCCATAGTCCTCTGTTATGGGTCTTCTAGACTTAAACAGCCTGCTCAGCTAGCATTTTGATTATGAGTAGTTCTGCATCCCAGCACAAGGTCAGCACAGCCTGGTCAATCAGTTATCTGACCTAAAAGAATGTGATATACCAGACCCTACAAGGCTCCTTTCAAAATAAAACAAGAGCAGGACACTTGATCACCCTGGGACTATGGACATACATCACAAGATATGATCGGGGACACTGGAAGGGCTGTTGACTGATGTATGACTTTGCACACCAGAGTCTGATCAGTGGGATACCTTGTCGATTAGGTTGGAATGTAAATGGACAGTTATTGCATCATGTCTTCTTGATCCACTCATTTGTTACTGGGATACTTTGGTTGTTCCTATAGTTTAGCTATAGTGAATAGTGCTGTAATAAACATGGCAGTGCAAGTTTCCTTTCAAATTAGTGTTTTTGTGAATTTTGGGGGGTAGATGCCTAGAGTGGAATTGCTGGGTTAAATATCAGATCCATTTTTAATATTTTGAGACACTTTCATAGTGCTTTCCATAAGGTATGTATCAGTTTTAATTCCTACCTACAAAAGGGTCTTTTCAATCCTTATATATTCCTTGATGCAACCTGGACTCAAGATATCAGGAAGATGAAGTCTTAGCTCATCTGTATCACTTCTCTGCTCTATGATCTGGGCAAGTTTATCAACTTCTCTCTACCTCTGTTTCATTATCAGTAAAATGGACAAAGTTATAGTACCTACTTTACTATGAAGATTATATATGATAAAACTTCAGACTTCCTCGAGTACTAATCTCCCTACTTGGTGGCAGCACTGGCACTGTAGTTCCTTTGAGTTCACCACACAGACACTTATCTGTACACATTTCCTGCCACATTTTCCCCCTTTTACAAATAAGAACTAACTTTGAGTCCACTTGTTCTGTTCTATATAATCTATAGGGATATATAATATACTTATTCTCATTAGCTTAGTTTAGGTAATGAATCACAATGAATGAATTCTGTGGGGTCCCAAAGAAAGGAGTAAGCAACCGAAAATGTAGAGTGAAGAGGATGGTTCAAAAGGTAAGTGTCACAGAGTAGGAATTCAGTAAATATTTTTAATGAATAAATTAATTTGTTTTATATTTGGAACTCAGATTGCCAAAGGGAAGGAAAATCTCTTTGGGAATTCTGTTATCCGGCTGAGTTGTAAGCACACTTTCTGAACATAGTGCAATGGATAAGAGAGGAAACTTTGATTCTAGGATTCCCGGGTTGGAATTTTGGCTCTACCTATTACAAGTTTTATCAACTTGGACAAGTTGCATCTTCTCTGTTTCTCAGTTTTCTCAATTGTAAATGGGGCTAATAATGTTTATCCCAAGAGGGCTGAGTTGTGTTGATTAAATGAGTTTTTGCATCTATAAAGAGCTTAGAACAATAGCTTGCTGTGAAATTTTTGGTTTTGTTTTGTCTTGTTCTATATTTATACATTTTTGAGGTCCTGGCTAAAAGTAGGTCAGTTTTCCTTTTTGAACAGATGATTATTAAGTGCACTTGTCAGCCAATTTCTTTGTCATATTCTCATATTCTAGGTTATGATACACTTACCCCAGGGTCAGGTTCCAGACAACCATATCAGGGAAAAACCCTATGCCCCAGAATACACTGACATGATTCAAATTAGCCAGTCCTAAGGCTTCCTTCTTGGACCTTCCTATTCCTTCCTATGAAAACTACAGAAATGTTCTTGCCCATGTTTTCTCCTTACTCCTTCTGTCTCTTGATGGACCTGACACTTCCTTACCTGCTTTGCTTGGTATATTGTGTTCTTCAAAGAAACTGTGAGCATTACAAAACTATAAAAACCTTTCTGATTTTTCTTTCTTGATCTGGGTCTGGCCTTGCTACAACTTACTCAAGTTAATATGGTCAAACACTGTTCAAAACCTTGACCATTGTTGCTGAGTACATGAAAACTACACAGATTATGCTCACTATTATCACTGGAGAATTTATCAGGACTTAGTGTGATGTTAAACTGAATACCAGTAGGAGAAATCTAAGAGAAAATTTAGTCTAAAAAATTACTAACTGCTTCCATTCTATACTCCACATTCTATCTTCAGTGTATGCTAATAATGGATATGCATTGGAATCATAAAATATAAACAGTTATGTCAGATGTGATCTTGAATATCAGCTATTAAAATCCTTTAATTTTATGGGGAAAGAAACAGTGACCTAGAAAATGTAGGTAACTTGGTAAAAATTGCACAACCATTGAGTAGCAGGACTAGGATTTGGCCTACTTTCCACTGATTCCTGAGGGTAAATGAATCACCAAGACAAGTAGTTGGGCAACAATTCAGAAGGATTATCAAGTTCCCACTTGTATTTTTTCATTCTGTGCCTCTTTTTGGATGTTAGGAAATCAAAATTCTGATGTGCAGAATCAAGCAATAGACACATAGAGATGTTGGAGCATGTTTATATTTTCTTCTCCTCGTTTTGTAAGAACACATACTAAATGCATTTTTTGTGGGGGGTGTAGAAGCTAAGAAGAACATTAATCACCTTACCTGGTCAGCAACTCTGTACACCTCTTGCTTGTTGCCACAGTCACAGGTATAGACAAATACTTGCCCATCACCCTTTTCTTTGGCAAGTCTGCATGTTTCCATATTGCCTTCTTCATTAATGTCCCATAGAACTAAAATGGCTCCAAGGCTGGCAAAATGTATGGCCATTAGCCTCCCTATTCCACTTCCAGCTCCTGTTATAAGTACAATTTCTCCAGCAACATCCTTTTTCTTCTTTGGAATTATTTTGTACATTGCAGACTCTAAGAAATAATATAGACATTTTCCTAAAAATGCGAAGGTGTCCACAATTGCATCCATGTTGATTCAGTGAAGAAAAGAATATTCTACAAAAGGAAAAGTTAGTGGATAAATGTATTACATGACATCAAAATTGCTATATACCTAAAACATTTAGTACCAAGGAATTTTTCTTTGAGAAATCAATTCTTCCAAATATTTATTTTGGCAACAACTGCTAAAATTACTTGAATTCTTTAGCTATATAAATCCTTCTGTCAACATGTGCACAACAGTTCCTTTAACTCTCACAAGGGTGGCCCTGCTTTACAGTTGAGAGAACAGTCAGAGGCTGATCAAACCCACCCCATAATCATAAATTAATAATAGTGGGGAGAACTTTGAACCTAATGTCCAGACTCTCAAATACTAAGTGATATCGCAAGAAAAAAGGCTTAGTCTTGTAAAAAGAATTATCTTTTCATTATTGCCTTTAATTTATTTAAAGTCAGAATAAGGAATTAATTTTGAGATGTTCCTGGGACCTAAGTGAGGATGCCAGAGGAGATAGTCTGTCTTCGTCTTGCTGCCATCTCCGACCTTCCAGAAATTCCCCCAAGATAAGATAGGAAAAGAGCATTATTGCCAGACTACCATTAAAAATATCTATGTGGATTTCAGAAGGGAAGAAAAAATCCCCAAGAAAGCATCTGGGCCTTTGTTGCATTCAATGAGGATTTATTGAACTTAAGTTAGGTTCAAAACTTTATACACCATGGATTATTACGCAGCATTCAAAAAAGATAAACACATGCAATTTGCAGCAACATGGATGGCACTGGAAGGGATCATGCTTAGCGAAATAAACCAGAAAGAAAAAGAAAAATACCGGATGGTCTCACTCATAGCAGGAATCTAGAAAACTTAAATAAGGGACCAGGAAAAAGAATAACTATAAGAAAGAAAATATCAAAATCAACAAATAACTATGAACAAGAGACACTCTATGGGGGGTGGAGGGCAGGGAAAGGAGGGCTTGGGGAAAAATAAGGGGGTTGTAATTGTATGGGGAATATAAAAATAAAATTTAAATTAAAAAAATATGCTAAAATCTAAAAAAAAAACCCCCAAAAACAAGATGTTCAGTAAGTTTTAAAGATGCTAAGTTATAGTTTCTGGCTTTGAATAACCCTGAGCCTGCTTCTGGTTCTGGAGTTGCAAGGTGAAGGTGTTACAGGTGAAATCTGGACAAAGGGCTTGGTCCTGGGGTAGGAGGACAGGGAGTTTGGTTCTCAGTAAAGGTGTCAAGAAAATGGGCAGGGCAATTACATTTCAGTTTTATGTTGAAGTCTGCCATCAGGACATTACAGATCTTTCCCGTTAACTTACTTGATTTATTGCACTGACACACTTGGATTCACAATATTAACTCTATCCCTCAAGCTATTACCCTTAATGTTCACTAGTGAAGAAAGCCAAGAAGCAACAGGGGGAAATGTGCTTGTGGGCAGCGTTATGAAAGTACCTCACTCTTTTCCAAGTTTAATTAGACTTTTGGCACAAAAACAATCCTGCAATATAGAGTATATTCTAATTATGAAAGAAAATCATATCTTTTCACTTATTAAAAACAAATATAAGCGTAGAGAATGTACTCTGGGTCACAGGATTTTCATGTGGAGCACAAACCTTCCTCCTATCATTCTGGGAGGAAAGTTTGTTCCCAAAGCAGATGCTTTGATTTATCTTGAAAGAAAAGCAAGTAGCTTTCTGTAAAAAGTATTGCATTTCAGCAACATATTGTTATACTTTAGGGCCATTCTGAGAATAAGAGTCTTGACACTTCTCCAAACATTCATTGTCTAAATGTTCCCTTAACTAAGAAATCACATCCCCAGCCTGCTAACAAGGTTCAATTTTGGAACAGAGGAAAAAGTGCATGTAAGCCTCAGATGTAGGGCTTTCTGGCCAGAAAAGATGTTTGTTTCTATTTAAGTCCTTGGCCAGTCCTTTCTGACTAAGACTAGGTAGTCTGAAAAAAAAAAAATTGTCATTGCATCTTAATGGGTAAACATTTACCAAGTACCAAGCTACACTATGTGCTTTCCTTGCCTTTTATGTAGTCCTCAAAATAGCACTGTGGGGTTAAGTGTGAGACACAAGGGGGTACATAACTTGCCAAGGGGTGTACAGTGGGACCTGAGTCAAGAATCTGATTCCAGAACTCCTGCTCCTAATATCCTATATACAGATATAACTAACATTCTAAATGTCATTCAATAAGATGGGTTTTGAATCACAGGAAACTTCTTTTCATTTTTTCAGCACATACTTGGGTTAGAGAATGGGAAAGAATGGATTTGAAACTGGAATATATCTGTACAGATATCTAACTCTCAGTAATGTTAAAAATACTGAAATAACAAATATAACAAGCCTTATTGAAATTGCAAAATGCCATGCAAATGTAATTTTTAGCGTTTGCTCAAGACTCTTTGATAATGACACTGAGTTTGCAGCCATTATCTATAAAGATACCTATCACCAAAGCATAAAGCTTTTCTTTACTTTTTTTAAGCATATACCTCAAGTATGTAGTTATTGGAGAATGCTCAAGAGAAAGTTTGCCCAGCAGTGACAATCCCCTAATTTAGTTATTGGTAAATATAAAAAGACAAATAGAAACTCACACAGTGGTACCCACAAGTAAGTTTCCCTCTGCCTTGGTTTTCCCCCTGTCCTTTCACCACCTCTTCCTCTGACCCTGCCAAAAGTCAGCAAAGTGAGGAGAAACAGGAAAGAAGAAAAAAGACTCTGAAGATGATAATAAAGTGACCTCCTACCCTTATTTGGGCACTGTATTAGACTGTGCCCAGAGAAACTGACTCTCAATAGCAAACATCCCGATATGTCCTGAGCGGATTATCTTACCTTCAACAATGTTGCGCTCTGCCAGCATCTATCCTTACAAAGGCTGAAGTGATCAGGCAATTAGAAGCTATCTCTTAAATGATTTTAATACCAAATGCCCTCCCTCTCCTTTGCTGTCTCCATAGGTGCCAGATGAAGGAGTAACTTGTGAGAATTTAGCTGGTTTGACAGGTTTGCGTTACTACAATGTGCGCCATACATTCTGAACTTCAGCCTCCACAATAACCTGGAGTAAAGGTAGGAAATAAAGGTGGTTGCACCTGCTCAAGGTAATTTACAGGTAACAATGCCATTATTATCAGCCTTCCCTTAGGTATACTGAGATCTTTATTGCAATGTGACACTGCAGAAACACTGACCCAGCTCTGTTAGGAAAAAGGAAGATCAGTTATGGAGGCTGCCAGGGAGTGTACAGTAAGAGAGTTAAGGAGATCAGGTTTTCCTGGCACAGTGAGGGAAAAGCCCTTACAGAGACAGATTTTCCTTTTCATATGTAAATGTCTCTTTCAAGACTCCTCTTATGAAGTAAAACTTTTGCCAAAACAGATATGCTAGGGTGGCAGATTTTTGGTCCCCCAGTGCCTGATGAGCACATGATTTGTTTTAACTATACAGCCCAGGAGTGAGCAGCTATTCTAGAAATACCATCAATAATCTTGTGAGTGACTGCCGCCCCCCCACCTGAGAATAAAGAAATCACCCCACATTCCTTTCTTTCCTGTATACTTCTTTCGTGCACCACTCGGAGAGATGGCTTTTTCTTGGAGTGCTCTTTCTGCTGTATTCTGATGTAGTTTCAGAGTCTGGCTTTTGAGCGTGGGCAATGCCCCAGTTAGGTCAGGAACCTCTCCCAGGCTCTGCACCTGCTGCTCAGAGGCCAGGTCATGCTTCTAACGTTTGCTTCCTGGGACTCATCAATGGTGTCCTAGATCTCTCCTCTGAGTTTCCTGTGGCCCTTTCCCTCCAACAGCACTTATCTAGCATGTCCTCGCCATGTAATGAATTTGCTATATCGTTTGTGCCACTTCCTTTCCTATATGGACTCCTCCAGGATCAACTTTGAAAAATTCAAAAACCATTTTGCCTTCCAAATATTAGTTAAAGTCAACCTTTAAAGGCCAATCTTGCAACTTAAAGCCCTGTACTCAACTCTCTGCTTTGTTTAAGCAATTTTTCAATCTGTCCTTCTTTTGCTTGGGCAACAAACACAGGAAACTAAAAAGCTATTTTGGACTGTGTTTGGATTCCTACTGGTGATTGTGACCAGTAACCGGTCACCTGTAACTTGCAGGGTCTCTGATTTTAGATTCAAGTGTTAATTGGGAAGTGATATAACAGAGGTCATACATTAGGAGAAAGGATTGCTTATGAGGAAAAACCCAGTGGCAACATTATCAAAGTCTCGTTATGAGACTCCTCATTCTAGTCCTGGGTAGGATATAGGGTATTAAATATCATAGGCAGAAATAAAATCAACAAAGGAGAAGCCTGAACCCAACCTCCTATTCAAAGAGAAACCAATGTAATGCAGTGCCACCTTTCCATCCTGTTGCATTAGCGGCCAGCATCCTTGATCAAGGGTTGGCGTTTGCATCTATGGCTATTTCAATTCAAGATATAATTAAAATCAAACCAAATACACATTAGCAGTTCAGTTCTTAGTTGCACCATTTGAAATGTTCAATCACTATGTGAGTCTCATAACTATCATATTGAATACTGGAGATTTAGATTGCTTCCTTCATCACAATGTCCTGTTGAACATGATCTTTTTAGGGTATTTTACAGCAGAGGAAGACCTGCTTAAGAGGAATAGGGCAGGCCGTTGGAGAACACTTCCATTGCCTTTCACAGAAGTTTGTTTCTGAAGTAAAGCAACAACAACGTATCTTAGGAATTTTTCTTTGAATAACTTTTCTGCTTTTCTTGGGCTTCAATTCTTTTCTCTCCCCAGATATATTCTTTGGCCCAAACTAGGTTTAACTATGTTAGAGAAACATTTAGGAGCAAGCTCTAAGACAGTGAATGAAATCCTGAATGAACTCCACTGGGCTCCACCTTCCCCTATCTCAATGAGGATGAAATCTAAGGCACCAAGGATAACAATTCCCAGCATTCCATGAACCCGACTTCCTAAATGGCCATGCTTA